AGCTGGAGCGGTGTCTGCCCATGATTTAGATTCCCGGAATAATTGGAATATGGACACCTCAAAGTCAAGTCCCTCGATCGCGCACCCGCATAATCAGAGGGGGCCGAATTTCGGCGTTCCCCAGATTATCAGCTTTGTCGCGCTTTTAGGTAGATTGAGGCTTCTTTTTTAGGCTCGACTCGAATTCATCTTAGCTCTGCTGGTAGAGCGGAACAAGGAAGCAAGCGAGAGCCGATGTGAGCAAAAATAACTGTCGACAAACTTGCGAAGCGTTCTAGGTGTCAACAACGCGGGCACATCGAGCAACACCTTCGAGATGTTTTCAGCGCCGCCATCAACATACACACTATAATGGGATTGACTTTTGGAAAGATGCCAAAATCTTTGCATCGCCCCCGTCAGTCCGAGCTCTCTTCCCGCCGCGCCGGCCGATTGAAATCCCCGCTCGGTCCTTCCGACTGATTGGAGTCGTCGCAGCAAGCCTCGGAAACATCGGTCGTCGCGAACTCTGGGCTGCTCGCTTCCTCTTCCGCCGATTCCTTCTTCCGCTTCAGGCTTACACATCTCTTCATGGTCCCCTCCCCCTCTCCCTGGTCTCTCCCCTCTCTCAAAACGCACGTACGAACGAACGGACGCATGAAAGACGGCCGGCTGTTGGGCCAAGCCACGAGCAACTAACGCTCCGTGAGGTCCTCCCCTCGGTTCCGAGACCCCTTCCTCTCCTGACGTCCCTGCCGTCGAGTGACTCCACTAGACAGGGACAAGACAGGCGGCGGGAGGAGGAGGGACCGCATCGAGAGAGACACAGACAATGAGCGAGAGAGGCCGGAAGAAAGCGGAGGAGAAAGAGGGCCACTACTGGATCATCTAGTCAAGGTCACCGAGCCGAGCCAAGCCGAAACTGGCTGCTGTCCCGCTCCAGAGAGAGGAATCACCCACCAGCGACCCTATCCGCAATCAAATCTATTTTTCCGGAGGCTCCGCCGAGCTTTACGCTCTCGAATACAGACTTGAAATCGAAGCAAGGGAGTCGGGATCCTAATGCAGGCATTCGCGCACCATCGGAATTCGAACTTCCCTCTTTCCACCGAAAGCAAACGTACCATGTCTCCGTGTCTGGAGGTGGGCAGCCCCGACAGCCTTAATAGACGGATCAGGGAAGTAACGACGAGAACTCCTGATTAGACTTGCAGATCGTCTGATTGTAAGTTATGGGCTCCACCCCAGAGTTATGTCTCAGCTCGCGGCACTACCAAGGTGTATATTTTTCGGTCGGACGAGGGAGGTTTCCGATAGGTATCAGCGCCGACGCCGAGCTCTGTTCAGTCCGAGAGTAGAGACCGCGTCCTAAGCAAATTCCTCTCGGGACGGAAAACAGTCTCAGAGTGTTTTTGATGAAAAACGAAGAACAGATTAGAAGCTATGACGTTCCGATTTCTGCAAGCTCACGAGAGGGGTCATTCATCATTCCGTCGAGTGCGGGGACTCGAATAACAGACGGTGTAGCTCTCCGCTCGAAGGGACAAAGATCATAATTGAGGAAAAGATATGATAGATCAGAATCTCTATCCATTGCGGGTAGTATTGAGCAGGCGACCGGTCGTTCCACGACAGGGAGCCCCGGCCAACGGCAGTCCGTGAGACCGACGCCGTTGGAAGGTTCCACCATTGTGAATAATTATACATACAAACATTTTCCTTGTGATGGCGCGCTTACTCGAGTAGCAGCGGAACAAGGCACGAGACCTTGCTGTCCGACGGAGACGTATTCTACTCTCCACGTTACTCCACTCGACGTCGCCGGAGGCACAAGGTAGCCGAGAGCGCCGCGCAGCAGACCAAACGAAAGCTAGAAGTGGACTCTTGACGTTCGACGTCATCCGCTTCCACATGATTCCGATGCTCAACGTTGCTCTCGTTCGATGAGATCACAAACAGTTGTACGAATTCACCGATTTACAGTCACAGAACTGCGATCTCCTGTAGTAGCACGCGCTCCATTGAGAATTGGGATCAATGAGCTACTAGTCTAGACCCGTCTCATCGCGAGGGAACGCGTCGATCCGATTGATCCCGGCATCGATGGTTCCGTAAGCAGATCGGATGCGGATTACGAGCCGGGATTAGGACGACCGTCGATATTCACGCTCCGAATGGACGTCCTATAACTCGGGATTTATCCCTGAACGACTCTCGTTTCCTCTCTCGGATGTTTTCCTCCGAGGACGCATCGTTGCAACAGAGAGTGTATTCGACCACTCAGCCAGTCTCCAAAGCATTCCGCATACCCAATCGGGAATGGCGTGTCCGGGGAACTCCCAGATCGTCGTGCTTAGCCAGAGCGGACACGCATGTTCTCGATTCGGTGTCGAGTCGACGGTGTTTCCGCGTGGGGATAGACCACCGCGCCGATTGAAATTCAGGGTCCGGAGATCGGCCTCAAGTGACGACAAAGAGCGCCGTCGGTCCGATCTCGCGGCACCTAGCTGCCTGCCAGTCAGTCATCCAGTCAGTCAGTCTGCTCGCCAGTCTTGGACCTCAGAGTGGAAATATAGTCGAGCCCGTGTGAGTAAGCAAGGTCTCGAGCTCGACACACAAGCACCTCCGTTTCTCAGTGAGATTGAGGCTCACAGAGCCGGCTACACGGGTAAAGTCAGTAAGCCGCAGCGGGTTCACTATAAGTGAGACAAGTGTCGCAAAAAAGCTACAACCAACTAGTACCTAGTCAGATGGGGCAATGGGCTTACCATAGATTGTGCTCGCCCGGGAATGGGTTCATCTGGAAGTACATCGCGGCCGCCGCCCGCCCACTGTGACCATTCTGTTCCATATCGGCCTTTTCTTCCTCTAGCACTCACAGACCCCTCAACAAACCCGAGATCTGAAATATTGATAAGTGACCCGGGACTAGGACCGCATCGAATAAATAACATCCACGAGCTCAGAAGTCTGCAGTCGTATGCTAAGGGAATATCGAGAAAATATATGAAATGGGTTCCTGGCGTTACTCCGTCGTAGTATTGGGCTTGGTAGAGGCCTGTCCATGCCCGAATCCAAGTCTTTGAGCTGGTTTCGCAAGAGAGTCGCTCAACGCCATACGATGTGCTAACGAATGCTGCCTACCTCGGCTGTTCCTGCCAACTCATTATGTCAATGAATGATAGTGTATAGAGCGAAAGAAAAGGATGTGTGACTGCTCTGCTTAGGCTGGCTGCGAGGTCCACGGCTTCGAGCAAACATGAAAGCATCGTTCGAGCGGGCAACTCTGTACATCGCACCTGCTGTCTTCATCATTGTCTTCAGATACAAAGGAGGAAGCCACACGGACAACGACCACAATTTCGATTCGAGCGAGCCGTCTGGAGATCTCCATGCCCGTCTCATTCTTCCCACTCATATCCCGTTCTCCTGTGGGCTCCCGGTGTCGTTCCCTCTACTATATCCTCTTTGTCCGCATCTCCGTTGGACTCCCATACCGAAGACGGGAGCTCGAAGCTGTCTCCCTGGTGCCGTGAGAAAGGAGTCGACCCAATCCGAGATCTCGATGCAGGGCAGGTATTGCGGGAGAGCCGCGATCAGCGTTGCGATAAGCGCTCCGGGATGATCTGGTATTCGAGAGACGACAGCTCAATGTGGTGGAACGTGCGCAGATCGCCGAGACTTTCACCTCAAGTCGCATAGGCGTTCATCGGACGAAACCCGCGTAGAGAAGTCTGAGGGCGCTAAATCGTGTTCTTCGGAATACACTAGGAAGCCCTCAGGGTGATTATGGCATCGAGCAGTAGGAGCAGTCCTCTTGGCCAACAAACGGTGTTCTCGTTCCAGCAGTTACATCTAGAACCCAAAGTCCATCTCCGGGGATATTCCCAAGGAATGACGTCGACTCAGAGCTTTTTGATAAGGGAGTCTGTAAAGGGAATCACTCCAAAAACCTGGGCAAGGAATCATAAGGACCGATTGCTGAACGAGCTTTCTCGTCCGGCTCCTGGTGCGCATACCGGAGGCTACTGACAGGCGAGAGGTCCAGTCGTCGTCTATGCCGGCGCTCAGTGGGCTCGTCCTCGGCGCGCCTCCCAATGGTCAGGGCTTCTTGTTTTGACTCTGTTTCCGGAGCTCACGACAAAAAACGCATGCGATAGTGTCAAGCCCACTATCTTCACTGCAGATGGTTTCATCAGGTTTCCTAGCGATTATCAGAGATAATGCATCGACGTCGGGACCGACGGGAGGATAAGAACAGACAACGGCAACGACGCAGAGCCGACTAAGGTGCGTCTTGCTGCTTATCGATGACCTTAAGATACAATCAGCTCGGAGTAGCGGCGATGGTTGTCGAAGCTGCGGCTTACGGTCGCCGTGGTCATTACAATAGAGCAGGTAGGTAGCTGCAAAGGTAGGGAGGTGAATATCACTAGCGCAGATCCTCCGGAATGGCTCAAAAGCAACTCACGCGACAGGAGTATTCTACGCTGTCTGTTCAACAGCCCTCTCGAGGGAAAGTTATGAAACGATGGAGCGCGCTTTGAGTTAGCCAAGCTCGAACTCCGTCTTCGACACGGGCTCCCGAAACAGGGGTCTATCGGGCGATCGGCTCCGAAAGCTAGGCATGAATGGAAGAGCATGGTCCACGGGCCGCGTCCACGGGCTCGAACCTTGGTAACGTTGAAACTATGGGCGAAAGCTAGGCATGAATGGAAGAGCATGGTCCACGGCCGGGAACGACGCATCTTGAGAACGAGTGGAGGCACTGGCTGCGAAAAAGGAATACGACGATGGAATTGGCCAGATCCAGATCGTCGCTGTGCCGTTTCGACTCTTCCTTCCGCGCCCTGCGGAATGGATTGGCATCGAGAACAGGCTCCCCGGACGTGCTTGTACGCCGGAAGAAATCATGCACAGCGCAGGAAGGAAGGTGTGAATGATGATCCTGCAAACGCTCAACTATCTGGATGTAAACTGAAGGAAAACTGACACAAATGAACAATGATAGCTTCTAGCCACAAGAGTTGATTGACGTCAACACCATTTATTATTGCTCTAACTGTTTGATTTCATCAATCAGCGTCGGTCAACCAATTACCATCTCAACTTTCGTAGTGATGTCACGACCATAACCGAGAACTGTATGTATGTAGCATCCATTGCGCATTTAGTTGCGGTCTAGTCTGACATTATCGTTATATCAACGTTTATCTTATAAGTTCTTTCTTCAGAGAGCGACTCTCGCGTCCCATTGATCTCGGCACTCGCTCGAGGCTCTCTAGACCTCGTCGCCGTCTTCGTAGACGTCGCGGCTGCTGGTCCTGCCGCCGCGAGTTCCCGCTCTTGTTGCTGTAGCTGTTATTGATGATGATAGCATATCTGTTTCCGTTCCGTTCGCCACAATCCCCACCTTCTCCGCGTTATTCAATCGAGAATGAGCGGAGTCCTCTGTCCGTCTCGTCGACTTTGCCGTAATGGTCGTTTCCGTTTGCTCTTGTCTATCTGCTTTCGATATTTCGTTTTTCTTAAACATCGACGTGAAGCAGTCGGTATCCAATCGGGCTATTCATCAAGCATCAGTCAAACAATCTCTACGAATCAGTCGAGTTCGATGAAACTAAAAATCTACCTAGACAAGAATAAATCTAACAAGGGATTCCTTTGCGATCTTTGCTTGGATTTCTTGCATCGACAGGGTCCAACAGAGCGTTCGTCTTCTTCTCCTCCTTCTCTCAAATAGTATATATGTATAAATCGTATGTATATATCCTGCACTTCTCACAAGGTCAACTGAATTTCAACTCAATTCGACTGAGCACTCGATTCATCGCCACCGAGTCCTGTACCTAAACACCATCACGGTTCCATCGGGAAACGAACAATAATTGAACAAACGAACGAAGGGAGCCACGAGCGAACGAAAGGATTAACCAAAGCAGTTAAGGACCGACCAACGAAAGATGAGACCAACGACGAAGAGCGAGCGGTCAGACCGATTGCGGGTATGGCAAATCTCTATCTCGGATCATTTCAGGATGGTTGAGTAATGTCGAAACGTCATCGCGGAATATTGCAGCTGTCCTCTTCCTCAATGTTCATGCTTGTGTATTATCGTGTTGCTTTGTTACACTCGTAATGCCGGCGAATTCATTTTCTCTCTTTTCTTCAGACGCACCATTTGCCACTGTAGAGCTGTCATTCCTGTGTGACCGCGGCCAACGCCAGGAGTAGATCGTCATCGGCCGACAGCAAATGGCAGAAGTCGCTCGTGTCCGAACTGACAGAGCCGGGGTCGTTATCGTGCTGCGTAAGACTGTGAAGGTAGTCCTGAGCGGACCGGAGATCTCTGTCTTTATCGAGGCAGCCTGGGCGATGCTGCACCCGGCACGAGTATCCGTTGGGAAGGTCTTCTCCGCTGACGAGCAGCTTCATCAGAACACTGCCGCTCTTCTCAACCGGTTTCGGTTGCAGCTCACCGCTATCGATGGTTTTCCGACGTTTGATCGGACACACCAACGACGAGCGTTGTTGTTGTTGATGCTGCTGTGAATTCGATTGAGGATGTTGCGGCGACAGCTGGTCTGTGCTGTTTCTTTGGCTGACAGAGAGCGGTCTTTTAAGTGCGTTGATGGTGAGCGTAGAGTGTACCTTCTGAGGAACGAATTTCACAGGCGTGTTCCGCTTGGGACTCATTTTCATGCTTTCAGGTAAAGGTTGCGTGGTGCCACCCCAGTCGTGAACCATAGCTCGCTGCTTCTGACTGACACTCGATGGAACCAGGTCACTTTGAAGTAAGGCAGCCAGCATTGATTTACTCGAGGCGCTCAATGCCGATGATGATGATTTGCTAGATGAGTTGTTACTTGTACTGCTGGCGTTGCGGAAATTTCGACAATCGCCCTTCCTGGAATTCGACGTCGTCGTGCTCGTCGATGTCGTCGATGGACTTGGAAGGGGCCAGTCGCTTGGAAGAAGGAGGTTGTCAGCTTCCAGCTGGAGATTCATGGATAGATCGTCGAGCAGAGCTGGCGGAAGATCCGAGTAGCCGAGTAGAGGATCCTCGTACGGCGGAGAACTCGACAGCGGGGAACAGCCGGCACTGTCGAGCAGACTGGGGAAGAGATTTTCCGGCACCTCATCACAGACTTCGAACTCGACCTCGAGGGGCATCGCGGAATCGCCGGCCGTCGGAGCCAAATGAGTAAGATCAGCACCGGGCTCCTCGCATGTGAGAACTTGGCCTCCCTTTATCTGTAAAAAGCCCGGAGACATTTCTTCGGTTCGAGGAGCGAAAACGCTCAGCGTGGAAGTGAGAACGGACGTCGACTGCGGCGGGCAATCGTCGGCGACGACGACGTTGCTGTCGTCCTCGGTGTCGCTCCGATGATCGCTGCTGCCGTTCTTATTGCTCAGGCAGCGCTGAGTTTCCGCGTAGTCGCTCTCCGATTCGGGGTCTGTATTCTGTCTCGACCGCTTGGAACCGGCGATCGATGAAACCGAGATCGGAGTTTCCCACTTGTCCGCTCGATCCGATTCGATCAGGTTCTCGGTATCGTCATCGTTGTGCGGCTGCCGCTGCTGCTGCTGATCGTCGTGTAGATGGTGACCTAGTAGATGGTCTGGCCCGATGAGTGCTCCGTTGTACGTAGATGCTCCGATGGCCTTTGGCGAAGGCACCTGACTTGTGAGTTCCTGCTCGTCCCGATAAAGGCTAAGCTCGCTTGTTCTGCTCTCGAGCAGCAGCTGCTTTCGATTAGCGCTCTCGGCGAGTTGCTCACAGCTCGAAGCTTCGATGCCGTAGCTGTTGCGGCAACTGTCGTCGCTAGTTTCGCAAGCAGGCGCCGGAGACTCGAGTACTGGGCAATCGTCGTCTTCCTCGTCGTCGTCGTTCGAACTCACCAAGTCCGGAACGCAATCCGCCGCCGGTTCTGGCGAAACAACACGTTTAGCGCACACTTGTCCACGCTCTAGCTGCCAGTGCGCTTCTGCTTGTTGTTGATGTCGTTGTTGTTGTTGTTGTTGATACGCTTGAACACCGGTGAAACACGCTCCGAGAACACCACCAGCACCAACTACTCCCTCGATTGGCTGATGCACTTGGATATCCGAATCCTGGAACACGTTGTCTGTCCTTAAATCCGAAGCCGCTGTGGCCGCGATTTGGCCGGCACCGCTGCAACGAAACTCTACCGAGTCGACGTCGATGCTGGTAGTGCGCGATGTTGCGCTTGGTACTTTTTGTCCGCTGGCGGTTGAAGGCACTGCTGCGGCCGATACTGCGTGCGTTAATGTAGTCGTCGACGAAGACGACGACGGTAGCGGCAGCGACTTCAACGTCGACGATGTCGATGATGATGCCGATACTGCTGATATCAGAGATCCGTCAGGAACCGATGTGGAATACGAGCGGCGGCGGCGCAGCAGCAGACACTCTGCCGCTGCAGCGTTTGCAGCGAGATCGTTGTTGCAGCCGACGACAGCAGCCGCCGACGGAGGATTCACGCCACCGACACCACGACCACCACGAACACCATGAAGAGGAGAAACTCTGATGGTACTTTCTCGCTCGGGAGGAATTCCTGCTCTCTGATGAAGCTTTCCTCCTCCTCTCACCGAAGCAGGTGCTGGTCCGACGACTTCTGCTGCCGCTGCTGCTGCTTCTGGTAGTGAGAAGCTTGCCAATTGGAGCGAAGTACTTTCAGCAGCCCGCTCGGTAGTGTTATTATTATCCAACTGATTATTTTTAGATTGGCCTACAACCGCTACAGGGCTCGGCTGACCAGCACTCAACTCGGCAGCGTTCACATAAGTCGCCGTCAGGCGCAGGCTTTGCTGGGGGAAAGAGACGAATCCGAGGGCCCTGCCACCCGCCACAGGAGAGGGCCCTCCGCCAATATGTCGGCTAGGGACAGAGGGCGCTGCCGATACCGAGAGACAGCTTTCCGGACGCCCGTTGAGGGCACCACTGTCGATCTGGCCGCTGCCGGCTCCAGACGGCACAAAAATAAGCACGTGATGCTTGTTGCGGCTCTCGCCACTGTTATCCGTCGTTGTCGTCGTCGTCGTTGACGCTGCCGCCGCCGTTGACGTCGTCGTCCCAGTCAATGATGATGATGCTGACGCTGACGTTGATGATGGTATCGTCGTCGTATTCGATGATGAAGCTGCCAGTCTGGGTACGGGTTTAATCGGGGTTGTGCATGAAATCGAAGGTTTTTGGGCATATTGGTTTTTGACTTCACGGAGTCCGTCTTCCAATAGAGACACGCTTGGGAACGATTCCGATCCCAATGGAAGACCGCAACGCGGAGCTTGCTGCTGTTTAATTTGCTGGAAATCGGCCAGCACACAGTTCGCGTCCACTATCGTGCTCCCGAGACAATAGTGCACGCACTGGATCGTCAATGGTTTCCCTGTCGTATCCTGAACCAACTGAGCTCGACTCGAGATCCAGCAATAGCCACCGCAACCGGCGAGGAATCTGTAGAAACCGGTATCGCAATAGCCTTTGCTGAAGAGCTCCTTGAAGTGTCCGTTCATTTCAAAAAGGTCCGCGGGATGGATAAGATCGTAGAGCGACAGCTTCTTTAATTCATCGGCCGAGAATCCTATGAACTCGGGGAAACCCTCGACGCTTTTGAATACTAAATTCAGAGCGTGCTGGGTCGTGAAGTCTAAGCAGGTCTTCACGTCTGAGGTCAAGAACGAGCTCCTCGTCGGCCGCAGTTTGGCAAAGCACGGCCCCATGGGCTCGCAGAGCGCACTCATGTACTGCACGTCGTTGCGCTTGAAAACCCTCACTTGGAACTTGACGACTTTATATGCGGCGCTCTTGATGTTCACCACTCGACCCTTTGCACTGATCGTGCATTTCATACGGACTTGGAGAGTTCTTTCGATCCTGTCCGATTCCGCGTTCTCTTTGAAACCGAGGAACAGCGTGCGTAGCTCCTGGTAGTCGCAGGGATGAACGAACGTCTCGAGTGAGACGCCGAGCATTTCGGCCACGGGCAGACCCATCTCCAAGTGGAGACCCTCGGAGACGAATATCGGCTCGAGTTGTTCGCCGTCGTCTACGAGTATCATTACGAATCCGTCCATGAAATTCAACGCGGGATCGTCGCACAGAGAATCCTCCGACTCCCCGAACTTGATCCAATCCTCGTCCACGGAGCTTCTTCGCGTCGACTCGATGAACTTCTCCAACCTGAGCGAGTTGAGTGTGAGACGGAGTATCGACATCTTGTCGAGGGTGTTCGCGACTTCATTCGCCAGCGGGAGATAAGACAGGAGCTCGTTGAAAATTTCGGATTCCTTCCCTCGGCGACACCGAGCGGCGTCGCGGGACTTCTCTTTGCGTTTCTCTGAGTTCCGTCTTTTCTCTTTCTCTTTGACTTTCGGTATTTTCTTCTCCTGGCCCAGTGGGGGCGGGCGCATGATTGATGTTCCACACATGGTTGCTTCTTCTGAGTCCTTCAGACTTGATCGATCATATCCTGGAATAGAGAGGAAAACTCATTTATTGGTCGGTATCGAATGAGCCGTGCTCTACTGATGAGCCGACGGACGTCCAGGAAGCCGATCGTGGGAAGCAGCTAGGTATATGGCATGGAGCTCCATGCTTTAGAGATCCAGAGCTCCGACCGACGTCTAGACAGCGCTGGGATGTATTCATTTTGAGCGTGGAGGTGGGATTCCACGAAATTCTTTCTCAAGCTCGATTGGAATTAGAGCCGCGAGTGGATATCACCGGGTCCTGGCAGGGGGAGGAATGCATTCGTAATCCGATGAAATCTAAGCTTCCTGTCGCGACAATTATCATATTCATCGACTAATCCAGAGGACTCGTCCCGTCCGAGAGCTCTCCGATCGTGAATCCTGCGATCCTCCCGGGCTGAGCAGCGAATGAGAATGGAATCGAATGGCTCGGACCTTCTGTGATTCGAGACGGTAAAAAAGCCGATGAGCCCAAGACGATATCAAATACGAGAATAGAAGGAGTGATTCCAGAGATGCGAAGGGGGACGAGGAAAACTGCGATTCTGCGAGGAACGACAATGGCAATTGCGGAATTGCGGGGCGATCTCCAATCGCACCGAGGAGTGATTTCAACCTTGTCGTCGAACAGATCAGACGTCTAAAGATTATGACCGAACAATGGACAGCTTGAAAGAGGCGATTTGAGCGACAGAGGTAGACGAGCTGCAGCCAGGCGGGCTAGCAAGGTGACAATCACCACCGGCCAGCTCGCTCGACGTTTCTTTCTTCGCCCTCAGGTTCGCCTGCGAGAAAATCGACCGAGCAGACATTTCAAACCAGTACGAACAACTACAACTATCTAGCCAGTCATAGCAGCGGACCGAGGAACAAGAGCAGCCGCCTCGGCGAGGACTCAACCAACCAACCTAGCTCGCTGGCCTGTACTTCTCGCTTGTTCCGGCTGTTTGCACCACAACCGTCGTCGGCGGCAGCAATGCTCGTGGTTGCAGCAGCAGCAGCGGCGACGACGACGGCGCGGGCCGGATGCCAATTCGTTGCTTGTGAGTTATCTTGCAGACGTCAATCAACTGTCATCCGCCTGAGACATTCTACTCCTATTAAGGCCATCAACAGCAGCCGTCGCAATGGTGGTTACGAATGCCAGCATGCATTGCCGGTCGATCATGCAGATGATCATGTCCCGAGTCGAAATGCCGACTCTTGCAACTGTACAATTCCAGACCTCGAAAATCGCCTTGCGACCGCCGTGCGACAGGTATCGAGAGCACAGATCGTTCGCTCGGGCCGCAAGTCTCCCACGCTCGGGTGGAGATCTCGAAGACTCGGACAGATCGTTGTGCAGGGTAATTAAATTGCGGCAATCGAGAAGCAGTCAGAGGCGGACCGAGGGAACAATGAGACAATGCAAGCAGCAGTGTTCTTTGTCAAGAGGTCTACAAACAAGGCATAATGTACACGGCGAGCAGATGTGGGCCTGTGTGAAGCGACAACACTGTTATCGTGAAGCAAGTAAGCAAACTGGGCTGAGCGGTAAGGGGAGACAGCACACTGTCTGCATAATCTACGACCGAGTAGCGAACGAATCGTCCCACTTTGGCAGCATAAGTGCCGTACGGCCTCGTCGTCAGGCCCGGTGGTAGGCTTGCGCGAACCCTTTGTACAAGCCCTCCTCTGCTCGCAGTGTTCCGTCGCAGCGCACTGTCGACCGACCTCAGTTGTTGAAAGTCTCAGCCGGACAAACATACGTACCGCACGCGGCTCAGTCGCACATTCACCGACATGGGCACACTTAGCGTTCGGTTTACCTTCCTCGATGCTTGTCCCTGAACCAGAGCGCTTCGAGCCGCCAACAGGCCAACCTCCAGTATGCACCACAATCGTATTGAGAGACCGATGACATACCTAGAAGTGAACGCGTACAAGTCGATGCCTTAAAAACGCATCCCAATTACCGAATCCGAACGTTTCTGGCCTGGCGAGCCTGAGGCTCTTTCGGAACCTGAGCTCGATCTGCCGGAAACTCTGATCCCGGCAGTTCTGTCGGAGACAGCCCATCACCGCCCTTATTATTGGAACGCGACGAGAGCTCAGAGCAGATAATCCGGATTGGGGAAATTCGAGGCTGCGGAGGAGGATCTCGGATGTACGGTCACCGTCACCTGATTCGAGATCTATTACCATATCGTTCCCCTGCAAGCCAGAAACAAGGCTCTTCCCCCTTCTCCTCCATGAGGTTCTGGTGTACGGTCCCTCGCGGGACATAGCCGCGGACAAGATGTCAGCTCTCGCTCATGCTTCGGCGACATGAGAAACACATTCAGCCCGTCGAGAGAAGTTCATCTTGTACATACTTGAGATGTAATGGCTACCGTGGCACCTAGAGCAGAGAAGCCTCCGGTTGTAGCTTGTCAATGTCCCTTGAAAACTCGACACACCGAGGAGGATAATATCGGAATCGAGCAAGCTATGCCTAAATGAGCTTCCCGCAGGGCTCGTCCGTCACGTGGTGCCATGGACCCGCACAATTAACCTCACGTCGACCCTCCACCATATGGACGAGGACTTCGGTACCGAGCGGCCTCCCCTCGGGACACACGAATTCGCTCCGGTGGGAGTTCCTGTGGAGATCCCACCGCTCCGTCTAGGAGCGACTAGCCATGAAAGTCGAGGGCGGTAGAAGATGTAAAAGTCGGATAATTACTACCTCCCCTCCCCCCCAATGAGATAACTTTTATCCGGTGCTGCCAACGGATCCATGGAGCCAATGGGGTGAGTTTCCGTCATGTATCTTCCCGAGTTCTTCGTACCGAAATATAATCCGTCTCAGATAGACGCGTCTCTCTCGAAGCTGACAACAGCGTTCAGAATATCCATCGCTATTAGTACAGTCCTGATTTGCCGGGAACAATCCCTGCTGATAAGATTGTGACAGTCTCCATGGGTTTCGCTGGGTGACGGAATTGACGGTTCCATAGAACATAGAGCACGGAACCCTAGAGAGCCACTATTCCTCTTAGAGCTCCTCATTCGGTACCGACTGACACTGGTGAGCTTCCCCAATGATGAGCGTAGTGCCAAGTCACTGCTCGGCATGTCTCGAATAACCGCATAGTTTATTTCTGAGACCAATTCTCTGTCCGCCGGCGGTCCCCTTTACCTTACACCTGGCGAAGCGAATGGGAACGGGGAGGGTCCGTTCTGGGCGAGGGAGCTCCTCTTGCGCGAAGAATTCCCGATTGGGATGGTCTAAAAAAATTCTTAGCCTCACCGTCTATGATTGGTCCGAAAAGCCGTTGATCAGCTTGTTGACATAACCAATGGTTAAAGTCGTGCATCTTGTATAAAGCTGATCGTTGCTGCTTCTCGATCGAGGAAACTTTAGGGAAACCTGAGAAAGTTTTGGGGTTGAGAACAGGAGATTCGCGAATAACCGAGCCGAACACCAAGCAAGCTGACTGAGGAGAACTCCAGCACCACTACCAGCTACACCGACACCGAAAACGATGCTGCATAGCAAGAGGGAAAGGTCGCAGGAGATTATGGGGATCAAGAAATCTTTCCAAATGGACTGACGATTCGGACACCGGATGCTCAAATCGCGGGTTTTCATTTTGGAACGACAGATCGATCGATGAAGTCCCGGAGGCTTCCTCACTTTACAAGTCGACACTCCATGGAGGGGAGTAGCCCAATATCAAACTTCCTCGAGCAGGTAATCGTGGAGAGTAATGCGATCAACGCCTCCATATTGCAACAATGGAGCAGATTTGAGAGAGATTTGTTGTCTGAGATAGCTTCGCGAAAATCATATCGCGTCATCTGAGAGGCCACATCAAGTCGCGATACGGCGATTCGATTCAGCTGGAAAGACTTCATGGCACAGAAATAATTTAATTCCTTTTCGAGGCGCTCCCCCGAGGCTTCCTTCCCCCCCCCTCCCCCCCACACGACTTGCGATAGGATCTGGATCGAAGTTCCGGCCAGAAGGGACGAGTCAAAGATCGGAAGAGACGGTAGTCTCCCGGTCAAGGATTAAGCTACGACAATCCGTGGATGGTTGAGGGATCCCGAAGGAGGATATCTTCCAACTCATCGTCCGTGGCCAGTTCGGAGGACAAGTATTCAAGGCAGCAAAGTCAGACTCCTTCTACGGCTCAGGGTTCACCCGCTCGATCGGCGCTTCCTCCTATGCTCATCCGGGAGATCCTCCTATGATCTCGGCTAAGGTCAAAAACGCGGGCACGAGCATCGTACCGTCAGGGTTGCAGATGCTCGCATTGATCTCGAAGGGAAGGACCATTTGATACTCCAATGAGATTTCTATCTCTAATCCGCGATACCGGTGAAGGGACAAACCCGACGGGATTACGCGAGTACACGCAGCTATGTGCTGGGAATACTCGAGCGAAGTGCGCTCATTCGCGATACAACAATGCGAACACCGGACCGAGTCTGATTCCTTGCTTCTTAGTCAGAAAAAGGGAAGATGAACGATCAAGTGAATCTCAATCTAACATCGTCAGTCAGCAAGCGAGCGAGCGGGTAGATGGCCCACTCGCTTCGTCAGACCTGAGTTAGGCCAGTCACAGCACAGCGACTCGCGAGTTCCCCCAGATGCCTGTGCAACTATGCGCGATTAGAGGTCGCCGCAGGTTTTAATCATTTCTTGGCCTCGCCACGAACACCGGTCAGACCCATCTATCTTGAGAGAGCTCGCTTTCCGGCGTCGGGTTGGTCGACCTGCCGTTGAAAGAACATCGTTTGCAGAACTTTGGTCCCACCAAAAGGCAAGATCGTTTCCTTGATCATCAACGTTGTCGTTAGAGTCCTGCAGAGAGAACCTGCAAGGGAGCAACTCTTCCGTGGGGATCATCCTCCAAGACCTGGGCGCGCCCGAATGCAAGTCTCACGTGGAATGTTCTTGTGGTCCCGCATAAGTTTGGGACGCAAGTGCA